CCATTGTGACTTTGAGTGAATGTATCCTCCTGCTAAGGGCACTGGAATGTGTCTTCTCAACTCCTGTGATGGATGGGGCCTTGTTTTGCACTCCCCCGCCCCTCCCTCTGACTCCCTCTTTCTCTGCCTCAGCCTTTGACTCTTTCATCACATCCTTTTCTCCGGCACCAATAAAAGTCAGCGATTCTTAATCAGCTGTTGTGTGCATCTGAGGGCCGCTGTTATTTTTCACCGGGAGCGTGTCACCCATCACCATTCAGCCGCTCCGTCACACAAATTCAGTGGCTGGCACGGAGGCCGAGGCAGGTGGAGACGCAGCGTCAATGAATTAGGCAAATGAGACACTGGGAATATCCTTTAAATTTAATTTAAATGCTGGTTTGGTGGGATTTTATTGGGTCTCGTGCAGCGGAGTGATGAAGTGTTGCAGCGTCAACCGCTTCAGTCGCAGGAAGGCATTCTTCTACTGACGTTCTACTGACGTTCTACTGACGTTCTACTGACGTTCTACTGACGTTCTCATTTGATCTGATCCGGTTACGGTCGGAGTCGAAAACAAAACAAAAACTCTATTATCCAAAACCTTCAAAAACTTCTTTAACACCAGGGGGCGTCGATTTTAAATTGTAAAAACAAAAATAAATAAATCCCCGTCCTCAGTTTCTTTTTAGTAATTTGAAATAATCCATGACATCAGTTTCACATTCAGTCGTTTTCTTATGTTAAAAACTCAACAAAATTAAATTATCTTCACTCCATAAACAATCAAGTTTAAAAATGTTTTTAAATCCACAATTTCCTCCATTGGATTGTTTTTTGTTTTTTGTTTGTTTTTTTTTTTTCAACTGAAGCTCATCTGAACTAAGTCTAGGAAAGTTTTGGTATTTAAACACCTACATTCAAACAGTTCCAGTGACACTGGCACTTTGTCGTTTTATCTTCCTCCACAGCAGTAAACGGTTCGATCTGAAAACACATATAAAAACATATATTAAAATATATGAGGCCTGAGCAGAAAGATGAGAGGAAAGAAAAAAAAATTTTATTTTTTCTTTATCCTCATTGTCTCCATCTTTCTTTTCTCCTTGTTTCATCAATTGTTTCCACTTCAATTTTTAATCTTCTTTCTTTTCTCCTTCTGTTTCATCACTTGTTTCTACTTCAATTTTTATCTTTCTTTTCTCCTTCTGTTTCATCAATTGTTTCTACTTCAATTTTTAATTTATTTTTCTTCCTCTTCTTCTTCTTCTTCTTCGTCATGTTTTTACTGAGTGCAGGATTTTGGTGGTAATTTTTACTTTTTTTATCTCATGTTTTGAACTCATTTGGCGTCTGTTTTTACTGCCCTCATTTTTCACCCGTGGACTTGGTTTTCTAAAAGCCAACACTGATTCAAATCCTCTCCGGTTTCGTCGTCACAACCGTACATGAACAGTCGTGCGTCGCGGCCGGTGCGACTGTATCTCACCGTGGGTTTGTTTGTTTTGTGTGGTTCTCTTCTCGTCACCTCGGCCGTTTTTTCTCTCAGTTTCAGTGTCGGTGTCGGAGCCTCTTCAGACGTCTCAAATCTATATTTAAAAAGAATTATTCACAGAGTGTTACATAAAGAGAGATGAGAAGATGAGTCAGAACGTCAGAGCAGCAGATCTCTGACTGCAGCAGCGAACACTGGACATAGAGACTGTAGATATATACGTGGGTGTGTGGTTTGTTATTTTTTTACTGGGGAACAATTAGAACAATTGATTCACATGTTTGAAGCAGGACCCACCTGGAAAATGTAATTGTTTTTGTTATTATTTTTGTTTGTTGTAATCTAATTTTTTAAATAACTTTAAAAATATAAAAAATATTTTTATTTTTATTTTTATTTTTATTTTTATTTTTATTTTTATTTTTATTTTTATTTTTATTTTTATTTTTTTACTAAAAGTTTCATTATAACAAAAATAAATATGACCAGTTTTAGTATAAGTATATTCTTTAATAGAAAAAAATAAATAAATGCAGTTGTTTATGATTCAACTCTTTTAATTAAAGGTTAGCTGTCAGGCTAGAAATCATTGCTAAATATTACCTCAATGATTACTATATATATAAAGGCAAATGTTAGCTAAAGATTTGCTTTGAGTGTTAGCTAAAATGTAGCATAAAGAGTTAGTCATTTTGACTTTATGCAAAAGATACAAATAGCAAAACATTAGCCAGAAGGACGTTAGCACAAGATTAGCCAAAAGCTTATTATTATTATTATTATTATTATTAATAATAATCTGATGGAACGAAAATATTTTGTCAAAAATCGATCAAAGTCGACTGAGAATCCGAAAACTGAAACTCTATTATATTTGGATTTACACGTGAAGGTACCACTATTGGGCCCCACGGCCAGGGTTTGAACCCACCTGCTCCTGTATGTGTGTGTGTGCGTGTGTGCGTGTGGTATAACCTCTTGAAAAAAACCACGTGAGGCATTAAAAACATAAAAGGGAAAAGGGCAGTGATGAATTTGGAGGGAAATGGACATTAATGGTATTAACATTACTCATGTTCCACAGAACCAGCGATTGGAAATCTGACGAGCACCAAATTATCTCCTCACGGCCGGCGGGAGTGTGCTGGAGTCCTCTCTGCCCGGCCGGCTCGGACAATTTCTGCTCATTTGACTATTTTTAACAATAGCGGCGAAGCCATTAAGACAAATTAATGTCATTATCAAGTCTCTATGAAAATGACAAACACCAGCGTTTGGAGCAGCTTTAGAGCCTATTGACAATAATGAAATTCGCTGTACAGCCACTGAAAAGAAACACTCCAAGTAATTATTTTCTAGTAGCTTGTTTGTCTGCCGTCCGTTCATTTGCTTTCAGCTCAATTATCTGACTCTGTGAGCATGTGGAGGCGCATAGTGCTCGGCGGCCCACGGAGCGAGGGCCCTAATTGGCCAATTACTGTTCTGTTTCGGGGCTTTTAGCTGCGGCGCAGAGTGGAGGGGAGACTGCGGCGGGTAAAACCACGAGGACCTCGCACGCACAAAACCACACACACACACGTATATATATATATATGTATATATATATATATATATATATACGTGTGTGTGTGTGTGTATACTGTATATATACATACACACACACTGTTTAAACAAAAACAAAAAACCTCTCGTCCTGCACCAGGCATATCAGGTGAATCTCTCTCTCTCTCTCTCTCTCTCTCTCTCTCTCTCTTTCTCTCTCTCTCTCTCTCTGCTGCAGCAGCAAAGTGACAGGGGTCAGAGGCCAAACCTCAGTGACTCCACACACACACACACACACACACAGGATGCAGATGCAGCAGTGGACTCTGTGTGTGTGTGTGTGTGTGTGTGTGTGTGTGTGTGTGTGTCGTCGTGAACACATTCCTGCAGGTTTCAGTCTGATCTGAATAACCAGCAGATATGTATAAATAGCTGAGGGTACTTCACGTTAAAGCCTGGCTTGGGGGGGGTCAGTGGAGGGGGGGGACGAGCTGAGGCAGCATGGAGCTGTAGATGGTCTATAATGAGAACATGGTCAACAGTAGACTCCACTTTAGTAAGCACCAAGCAGTCCAACCTTGATGAACACGTTTGAACATGTTTGTCTAAAATATGGTCCCCGGACCAACTGTGGTACGTTAGCAGTGTCTGTCAAGGCCTAGAAGTTCTTTCTTCGACTTGAAAAAGTGCTTTATTTTGCTCAAAAAACTATTTTTTTTTTGTCAAACTCATGTAACTAAATATATAGCTTATTAGAGCTAATAGCTAACTGTTACCTTTTCAGGTACAAGTTACGACCCCCGTGACCTCCCCGACCCCCTTAGGTTTGGACCATGATGTTTTCCCGACTCCATCCTCAGGCATTCACAAAAGCAGGAGTGAAATAAAAGTTGGCACCTCAGCCCTCCTCCTCCCCCCCCCCACTCCTCCCCTGTCATTTTCATATTATCCCTGCGCCGCACCGCACCGCGCCGCGCCGCCCTCCCCCTCACTTTAACGCGCTGTC